TCCGGCGGGGCGAGTCGGTGCCAACCCGGCGCTGTTTCTCCCGGGGCTCGCCTCGCCCTGCCTGGATCCGAAGGTGGCTCTGCGGCTCTGCCCGGGTGTCATGGTTTTACTTGGTCCGATTTTTTGGTAGTGGGGGGATGGGGACCARGAAACCACGARGATGGCTGCTGTGAGGAAGTTCTAGAAATTTTCTCCTTCTTGTTAGTTGGTGGAGACATGGCTRTAATCTTGGCAGTGRGGGCTTCTCTGAGAAGCTGCTTGRACCTTGCCGCGGGCCCGACACATCCAGGGCCAGCGGCTCCGGTTTGGGGCCGGTCAGCGGTAGCAGCGACTGCTCGGGAGTGACAGAGTTAAGAATGGGGGATAAAAAAATTACGGAAATCTTTACATTATGGGGAAAAAGTTACTGCACAGAAGTAGTTGCTGCGAGGAACGGGGAGCRTTTCAAGCGTCCAGGTCAGGAGGAGGGCAGGAGAAGGAGATGCTCCAGGAGATGTGGGATTGGAGATTACCCAGAGGTTCCATGGCAGATCAATTCCATCACACTGCTGAAAACCCATCAAGGCAAGCACTGCGTGCTCACGGTGGTGGAAACAACTTCTGGATGTCTGGAGAAGCACCGTGTGCTTCACAGCACTGCCCAGAACASGACCCTGGGCCTTGGAAAGCGAATCCTGTGGCAATATGACACCCCAGAATGAACTGAGTCAGACACCGGGTCTCATTTACAAAATAGCCTCTCTGGACAGAGAACATGGGATTGAGTGGGTGTACACAGTTTTAAGATGCGCCAAGGGAAATGGAGGTTGGATATCAGGGAAAAGATTTTTATGGAAAGAGCGATAAAGCACTGGAATGGTCTGCCCGGGGAGGTGGTGAAGTCACCATCCCTGGACGTGTTTAACAAATATTGGATGTGGGGCTTGGTGCCATGGTTTAGTTGAGGTGTCAGGGCATGGGTTGAACTTGAAGATCTTGAAGGTCTCTTCCAACCCTGGTGATTCTGTGATTCTGGTGATATACTCCCTGTCATGCACCAGCCTCTGGGGAAGTCGAACATTACAATGGTCTGTTAAAAACCACATAGAAATCCATGGGTAGTGGGACTTTCAGACTTTGGGATCTATGTCTAGTGAGGGCCACCTGGTCAGTTAATACCCAGTCGAGCTGGGCCTGCCCAATCAAAACTTYCACTTACTGCAGAAGGGGTTAAAGACCCTGTGGTGCATGTGAGGAATATGTTGGGGAAGGCAGTTGGGATTAGTCCTGCCTCAAGCAAAGGCAAACCYATCTGGGRGATTGTTTTTGGTCTAGRAMRTGGRTGCACTTGGTGGGTACCTCAAGAGGGTTTGATTTTGGGCAAGAACAGTCTGTAATGCCGAATTGTTTTAGCACTGGGTGCTGAATGGCACTGCCACTGTTTGCCAWAAGTGCCATGGCCAGTGAGGATGGACAGCTCTGGACACACCAGTCCTGAGCTCCTGATGCAGCCACCAGCCGACAGCACAGCAGCCCTGCTGCCCTGGGAGACATCCAGGATGGACAGAACCCACAGCCATGGACTCAATGAACTCAACACACTTCTTGGAAGGACAGCCACTGACTGTGGAAAGGGTACCTGTACTTGTGTGAATTTATTTATCAGAGGATCACAGAACAGTCTGAGTTGGAAGGGACCCACAAGGATCATTGAGTCCAGATCTTCAGTCAATGGCCTGTATGAGGATCAAACCCACGGCCTTGGTGTTACCAGCACCACAGTGTAACAAATATATGTGTGTTTTATGTATATACATTTATATGTATGTATTTATATGTAACTGGAAGGTGCAGGATTTGGGCAGGATGGAGATGGCTCAGAATAAGGGGTGGAGAATGTCCTGATTTTGGCCAGGACCTGGAGGT